GAGCTCTAATATATTCTATATACATTTCTATATATATTCTATACACTTCTATATACATTTTTTATAGAAGTATTAATAAATGCAATTACTAACACATGCAATAAAAACTATTTTGATTGGTTAAGCTCTTAAGAGCTCTAATATATTCTATATACATTTCTATATATATTCTATACACTTCTATATACATTTTTTATAGAAGTATTAATAAATGCAATTACTAACACATGCAATAAAAACTATTTTGATTGGTTAAGCTCTTAAGAGCTCTAATATATTCTATATACATTTCTATATATATTCTATACACTTCTATATACATTTTTTACATTTTTATATATTTTTTTGTTTTTATTTTTGATTTATGTTACTCTGTTGGTATTTAATACTTTAATTTATTTTAATTTTATCTTATTTAATTTTTAATTTTGAATTTTATATTCCATTGATGGAATCTTTTAATTCAAATGTGTTTTAAACCTGAGGATGGCCTGTAAATCAGGCTGAAAACGTTTGTTTGTTTCAAATAAGTTATAATTAATAGTTGATTTTCTGGCTTTTTGTAGTTGTATACAAATGAATATTTAATTTAGCTATAAAATAATTGGAGAAATTTGCTTATGGCAACAGTGTGCAATGTCATTGATATTAGCAAATCAGCAACGATATATGCTCTAAAAAGATGAAATTAATTGTATTATAAATTATTTACATTGTGTATGTTAAGCCATCTGTAAGAGCTTAAGCCACACAATGTGGACAGAATGAACTTAAATGCTGATTTGATTTAAATACAGTCATATAAAAATGGATCAGCCTAATTTGGTTTCTGAAACAAAGCTAAGTTGGTTTTTGACATTATTTACTCTCTCCAAAGTCCACTCTTATATTTATAATATGGCAAAAGTAACTAAAAGAATATTTGGTTTAAAAGAAAAGAAGCATATGAGAAATTGATATAAGAAAAGAATATATCTATTATTAGACATTTGGAAAGAGGAGATTGATAATTCATATCAAACGAAGTATAATAAAGCCATTTATGTATCAATGACTCAAGGAATATGGGAAATGTGTAATAAGTTGCTTAAATTTCTTAGTGTAAACAAATATTTAATCTTGTTTTTGGTAATGCAACTGAATTTAATCTTGCTTAAATATCAATCCTGTTTAAAATTTATAGTGTATTAAGGTCAAATGTAAGGTATTAAGATCATTGAAGTTTGTATTCAGTCAAAGATGCATATTGATTAGCTTAATTGTATCAGTAGGAAAAAAAAAACTTTATTTGCTTATTCACAATATTCATTGTTGCAAATATTTATCTTTTGGAGACATTTGTGTTGTAATCAATCATTGATCTGTCATTAATTTAATTGTATCTGGAATTATTTTTTCATAATGAAATGTATATGTTTCTTTCTCTCTTTTTCATTCCTTACACATAACTATGATTTGTAAACACTTAATAACTAGAATTTAGTCAGATATAAAATAATTTTGTTCTAACAATAGTTAGTAATGCATTTTGTAAGTTTTATTTAATTTATTTTTAGCTCTGTAATTGTTATTTGCAGTTTTAAATGAAAAAGAAATTGGTCCAGTTATTAACAAATTCTAATTGATTTATATTAAAATTGATTTATTTTTCTAACAATTTACTATTATTTATGTAATAAGTGATAACTTGAGAATAAAGTCATTTAAAGTTATGTAGACTTTTATTAGAAATTCAAAGAATTTCATCAATTTATTTTTTATTTTTTACTTCACAATTGGGTTCACAATATATTTTTATTTCTGAAAGTATATTTATGTAATATACTGTGTGGCTCCCCTGGCACCTTCCTGATTATGCTACTGAGCACTATGCACTGTTATTTGCATATGATTGTTCATTTTACTGTTTTTATTTTGCAAAACATTAGTGACAATCAAATTTGCTGTGTGAAAATAAATTGTTTTTCACATCCTGCTTTTGATTTTTCTAGCAAATGTCTGTCTGAACTACACTTAGATCTTCACAGTGAATAAGAGCTGACCAACTGACTTGCATATCTGTATCATTAGATATTATTAAAATTATTTTTCTGTTTAATTTTTTTGAGTTTATTTTAATGTTTATTGTTATATTATTATAATTTTAATGTTTATTTTAATGTTTATTGTTATATTATTATAATTTTATAAATAAAACAGAAATGAAGTGATATGATAAAAAAATTTTGTTGTTCAATAGGCACTTATATCTTGGACACATGAAGTTTAGGAGGTTCCCTCTTAATACTTAATTTTTTTTTTTTTTTTTGTGTTTTATAATTATATCTACAGTAATGTTTTAATGTTTGAGATTGTATTTTATAAATTGCCTACTAGTAAATGGCACGCTTTCAACATTGCTCTGGTGATGTGGAGTATATAGTGGGGTAGGATATGTTAAGGTTTTATTTCCATTCTAGCAATTTTCTATAATCTACTGTTTTGGATTATACACTGCCATTGGTTAAAAGTACAAAAATACAGTAATATTGTATTATTTTTTAGTGTTATTATATCTGTTACAACTTCCAAAACAGTTAGGCTTTTCACTCAGAATTAGAATATATTAAAGAATAGTAATCATAATTTTAATTATTTTATCATTTCTATAAATTTTGGATATTGCTTTATAATTTTTAATTGGAATGTTTGTAATATCTGTAAAGGATAAAAAGTTTAAAATTGCTATAATAATGAAAAAAATGTTATTGAATTCTAAAATCTAGTTATTATTTTTCCATGTATTAAAAAATTAAGAACAGCCTTAAGCATTTCTGCTATAAGGTCAATGGTTAATGGCAGTTTCTTTAGGTGCACAGTTAATGTTTTTGGAATTAGAGCCTCTGCTGATATAATTATTGGTATTATTAGTGCTTCCTTTTGCTTTCAAAGTTGTTGAACTTTGTTTCTCAGTGATTGATATTTGAGAATTTTTGTTTGTTCTACTTTTTGTAAGTTTTCAGTATTAGTTTGAAATACATTTTTCTTGAAATTTTATTCACATGAACAATGTCAGGTTTATTATAATCAATTGATTTGTCTGTTATTAGTTGTTTATTCCAGTATATTGCTGAGTTATTTTCAGTCACTGGAGGTGGGTTGAATTTGTAGTAAGGTGTCACATTACTAAAAAGTTAGAATTTTTTGGTTAGTTGTTCTTAAATTATTTTAGTAATTTGATTATGTCTCATAGTGCATTCTGTTGGCATGAGTGCTTGGAATCCAAAAATAATATGTTGAATTGTTTCATTGGCCAATTTGCATGCCAAACATTTGCCATCAATGTTTTCTTTCAATATCATTTTTCAGTAATATTTTGTTGTTATTGATTGATCTTGAATGGCATACATAAAGCCTTCAATTTCAGCATGGATGTTTGATTTGCACAGCCATAATATAGAGTTTTCAATATAAATTTTTGTATTATTTAATAAATGGAGAAATTGACCATATAGCAGCATTTCAAGCCATTTATTGCATCTTATTATTATTATTATTATTGGACTGCAATTTAAAAAATTATAGACCTATAAATTCCTCCTGTTGTCTGCCTGTCTGTCCTTCCTTAATCTCAAGAATGGTGTTAAATAGATGAAAGTTGAGCCCAGATAGGGAAAGCTTAGGGGCAGGAGGCCCTGATATATGAACTTCTAGTTTGGACCAAAAGTGATTTTATTTGAATTAAAAAATTTCATCCTGAGCAGAGTTAGATAGATGACCAGAATGACTCCATTGTTATGAGGAAAGTATGATGTACAAGGGCAAAACACTACTAAACTTAAGTGCATTTGACAAAAAATTGCAACCCAGCATTGTGATGATGTCACAGTAAATAATAGCTCATTTTTATTAAATATGATATAATGTGTAACTTTTCTACAAGATATTTTTTATTGGTTGTATAATAAAATTATGAGAAATAACATGTTTTATGTTTTAGGTTTTAAATTTATTTGTTCTAGCATTTCCTTATAATTTTTCTGATAACCATGAGTATTCCTAGACATTAGGAAAGATATGTTACAAAGTATTGAATAGAATATAATATATGCTATAAAATAATTTTATAGTTTTTGCTAATATGCCAAGTGCATTATTATAAATTTGTTATAAAATTTTTCTTATTTAATCACATATAAATGTGTATGTGATTAAATTAAATAAGAACATTATACTATATGTATAATGATATAATATGAATGCTTTGTTTATGATTTAGAATTATCCTATTCATTTTATTTTCAAATTGAGTTGTATTAAATAATATATTGATTATTATAATTAATAATTATGCTTTTGGTTAATATCATATTGTATATAAAATGCATGGAAGGAATGCAGATTTAAATGATATAACTATAACATAAATTAGCAAATGATGCAAATTATATCACTAATCATTCTTATTATATTTGTCAACTTGGACATAAATTATCAATAGGACTGTTAAACTGGTGTTAAGTATTAATGCAAAATTGAGCAATAGTTCAAATAGGACTGTTAAACTGGTGTTAATACTTAACACCAGTTTAACAGTCCTATTAATAATTTATGTCCAAGTTGACAAATATAATAAGAATAAGAATTGAAATAAAGACAATAAGGCAATAATAATTATTGCTAATCAATTTTACTATATATTATTATCAATACATGAAAGTATTTTTAATAAATATTACAATATTGAGTTTTTTTTAATAATTATTGAAGTTTATATGAAGACATTGATAGAGGAAAGAAAATTTGCTTTTTTTTTCTGCATGTGATCGTACCCAATTGCCAATGATTTATTTTTATAACATTATTACTGTTTGTTTCATTTTGAATTACTTCAGTGTTAAATTTAGTACGTATTGTAAACTAAGTTTTTGTTTTCGTTCTTCAAAAAATTGCTTTGCATGTTAAGCATGTTGCTATTTGTGTGAACTGTCTTGCATGTTTGTCTTATGTTTGTCTCTCAGTGAAGGGGATTATGGTGAATTTGGTGAATATGATGAATACTACTCATCAGTAAGTCAGGATGATGAAGATATTTATGAAGACCTTTGTTCCATACAGAAAAGAGGACTTATGCAGGTATATTTGTAATATTTATGAATTTAACATTTATTTTATTTATATTTTTGATTATTGACAATTTTCAAAACTTTAATTAGAAATATCATAAAAGACTAATTTTATTTTTGCTAATAGATTCTTTTAACATTGATTATATTATATTTGCTATATTATAAAAACTGTTCTTTAATAGTTTTTCAAACTATAATATATTAATAATAATAATACTTGAATTTTATTATAGAATAAATCTATAAGTTTTCAAAGCTCAATAATAATTCTCATCAGTTTAAAATAAAATATTTTAATCTAAAACTAATTAATTGAATCTAGAATAAGAAATTATTTCTGCCAGATGGTGAATTTACAAAAATTTTGAAAGTAATTTATAATAAAATTGAGAAATTAATTGAGTGAAATTTGAACAAATTCTTAAATCACTTTAGACATTAATTAGTAAAAACAATTGAATTTAAAATAGAATTTATAGTATAGAAAATACTTTTCAAAAAAATTGTAGAAATTATCTGTTATTGGCTAGTTTATATTGGTTATTTGATGACATTGTTTATTATCATAATTTCTGTTTATAAATGTATATATTAATATATACAGAATCTTCCAAAATGAATGCTACCATTTTAAATTACTGTAATTATGTTAATTATTACCTTGGAAGTATGCAATGTAGTTGATAGAGTAACTCTCTGAGTTTCATATTCGATATACATTCAAACATCTTACTGCCTATTATCTCTAGGAAACACCATAAGTGAAAATGGTGATTTCCCATAGAGAGGTTTTATGTTCTGCAGTTTGCAAAGTTACAATTACTTATAATTGCACTACATGAGCAGCTATAGAATTATAGCTGTTGTGGTAGGAGTGACAATGGATTTGCTGTAGCAAGCATAGGAATAATTTGAGTATCAGTTGGATGTGTTCTGTGACTAGAGGTGCACACGTTGAGAATTATAATGGGCAAATGTGAAATTTGGACAGTTTTCTAATGTTTCAATTATATTACACTGTTTAGAAATAGTTAAATAAGATTCATCGAAAGTACTTGCGATATAAGAAAATCGTGTTAACGCTGAACTCAGTGCTTGTTATCAAGAAGCTATATTACACTGTTGTTGGGTAATAACATAATTATGATAATTTAAAATGGTAGCATTGTTTTTGGAAAACTGTTTTACATTGAATGTTATATGTGAATATATATATATATAATGATGATTGAATTAATTCATAGTTTATTTAGATAATAAAATTAACCATTGCCCATACAAACAATTAAATTATCATTATATCTTGTAATCATTTAAATTTAATAGAGTATAGATTAAAAATTTTAGTTTTATTTTACTTTAAACAAAATTTACATTTGACTTTAATCAAAATTTACATTTGACTTTATAGATGCAATTTGGAATTAAGATATAAAAAATAGAAAAAAATGAGCCATCTCTTTAAAGTCTTCTTTGATAAAATTCATTTGCAGATAAAATAAACATTTAAATAGTAATAATAATATAGTAAAATGCTATAACAAATTTTATATCTGATACAGACGAATGCTACTTTATGTTATGATGATCATACAAGGTATTATAAAATCATGATATTCTAATATTCGTTGCAGTTGGTGTTTTATAAATGAAATGTTATTTTGATTTTAGAAAATTTGAATACAATAGATTAAACATTATTTTATAGAAAAATAACTTTTTTAGATATGGCATTATCAACCTTAGAAAAATTATTGCCATGAATTACTAATGCCATGTTTTGTTACAAAATAATATATATCCAATTCTGTTTTTATACAGTAAACTAGCTGTTACCACGGCTTTGCTTGCACAGATTTTGCAAGCAAACCCTATTTATATTCAATATTTCAACAACCATAGTAATTGTTATTTAACACCTACCGCTGAGAATGATGAGAATTGCTGAGAATCAAATGAACTGTTTTTAATTTGATAAATTTTCTGGAACATTTACAATCATTCTATAATCGAACCAATATGCAAAAAGAAATTCGAATTTAAAACAGTTCGAACATTTGGTTAAAAAATTGAAATATATAAAAAATATTTATAACAATGTCTGAAATGTTATTAATTTAATACCTCTAAGTACTTAATGAAGAATAAATGTAATTAAAAACAAAAAAAATCGCATCTAAAATAGTACAGTAGAAGCCATTCTTCAGGTTAAGACTTAATGCTCTTCCTCTCCCTCCGTGGGGGAATTTTGAAAAATCTCTTCTTAGTGTGTGTTTTCATGATGTACCCTAACTGTGTACCAAATTTCATCTCTAGGTTCTGGAACTTTCTAGAAAAATCTGGAATATTCTCATTGAAGCGTCACACATTTTCGAAGTCAACCACTTTCAAACCCCATATCTCTCACACCCTTATAGCTATTGAGACGCAACCACCATAGTGCACGATGGGAGACTTGGGGCTACTACCACACACAAACACCATTCATGTGCAATGTGTAGTTTTGGCTGCAGAGTGACGTATAGGCACAAACATGTCCATTTATATATATATATATATATAGATATGTTTCTGAAAAATCCATGTGAAAAAAGATACTGTGTGTATAGAAATATGGAAGATTGGTTTCAGGTCTTCAAAATCAGTAAAAATAATACAATAAATTAATTAATATAACAGGATGTGTTTAAACAAAATATTTCAGTTTTAGTTAATAAATCAGAAGATGGAAAACTGTAACTTATCAGCAAAATTTCATAAATTTATATTATTTGCACAAATTTAGTTTTTAATTAATCTTTAATCTGGCCTTTTCAATTAAACACCAAAATAACACTATTTTTTAACACCAAATAAGCAATAAATAGAAAACTACTTAAAAGTGTCAACTTACCTACTTTTCCAGCAGTGGAGATGTTGGATGAAGGTTTTGACTACATTCACTGGTTTTTCAGGCTCAGCTAGAACTTCTTAAAGAAAAAAATAAGTAATACCACTTACTAAAAATAATGAAAGTGAGCAAACTCTCTATTGGCATTATCAGAACAAGATTTAATTACTGAGAACAAAATACAAGCACTTGTGATGGTATATAACCATCATTCTCAGGTACTGTGGCAGTTAGAACACAATAATTCAAAAATTAGAACACATTTTCAATTTGCTCTATGTGCACAAGCATGGAATACAAAACTTTTTTTAAAATACAAAATTATACGTCACTACAAAAGAAACACAATATATGATGATAATGGTTTACAGTATTAACCAACTTAATATATACAGAACTAATTGACAGGAATACAAAACTTTTTTTGACATAAACTACAAACACTGGAGCCTTTTTTTTCTCAGTATATTCCTTTCAAATAACATTCAATCTAGGTTTGCAGTAAGTTGAATAGCACAACTCAAAGGTCAGGAATATCAAGTGTGAGAGAATTGTGCAGAAACATTGCTGAAATAAACAATGACACCCAAATGAATAAGGTTATTTTATCTTCACAGCATTTTACCAAGGAAACCTGTGACCAAAGGGGATCGAACACATGATAGAACATAACCCTGATCCCTGAATCAGAATGAAAAACTGATTTTCGCTACATATATTCAAATAAGTTGTAAAAAATAGCTACTTATAGAAATGTGATTAAAATATTTAATTTATGTATATTAATGTTCTCTTATTTTTGAAAATAATAATTTTTATATATTACTGTATTAATTAGATTCCAGTTGTGGCTGCTGTGCCAATGGAAAAACGAGATTATTGTATTAAAGAATTAGTAGAAACGGAGAAAAATTACATTGAAGCTTTGAATATGATTATTAGAGTAAGTATATTGTGTTTGTCCTGTCCAAAATCTAATGAGTCTAATTAAACTATTTATGTTAATATTAATTATGTTAGTAGTTGTGATAATTTTTTGGAAAATTTCCTGTAACTCACAATACATCATTCAGCTTCATTCCTATTTTCTTGTTTAGATTATTTATTTATTTATTTACTAAATAAATAATCAATCAATCAACATTTATTTGCTATGGCTTTCGCCTTTACAAAGGGGTTACAAAATCATGTAACATTAACAGATACAAACATTATTATACATGGTTTCAAAAATATTAAAACTTAATTAACAATGTTATGTTAACAATAATGTTAATAAATAACAGAAAAATTTATAAATTTTAAATAACATGTCAGAGCTTAATTTATCATCATATAAATAAAACATATCAAAATCAGTTGTCAGTAAAGTAGCCCTTAAATGTTCAATAATTTCACAAGATACAAATAAGTGGTTTTTAATATTTTCACAGAGTCGGTTACATAAAGGGCAGTTAGAATGGGCGGAAATATTCATTCTATGCCTATTTAATACAATTGTATAGTCATTAAGTCGCAATTGAATTATCAAGGATTTAATATTATAACTTAAATTTGATAGTAAATAATATCGAGGTGTCCATGGAGCTATTAAGGAAATCTCAAAAAACCTACTTTTTTGCTCAATATATTGAATATCTTGAGCCCAATAATTATCTTTTAATGATTGAAATATTTCAGCCATAAAAAGGTTTTTATTTGAGACCTGAACATAATAATCAGTATAATAATCTAATTCAGATAATTAATTTTCAACTGAGGAGGACCAAGTTACAAACGAAGAATCTCCAACTATTAATTTCAATTTGTTATAAATCAATTTTTTAGGGTCATAATCTGGTAACTCCAAAATTTTACTCCAGTATCTAAAAATAATCATTGTTAATTGTATAGCCATTGGTGGACGACTCAGTTCAAATCTCAAAACAGGTTCAGGGACTGAATGACTAATATGAAATATTGATCTAATAAATCTCAATTGCGTCTTCTCCAATTTATCAATAAAAGATGGTCTCCAAATAGGGAACATATATCCCAAACTTGAACATATCAAGGGATCAAACAATCGATAATACGACTTAATAGAAGACTGCTTCATTCTGACCATAAGTTTTATTAAATTAGAAAGCTGAAGTTTATATTTCAAAAACAATTTATCTAAGTGAAAAGAAAAAAAAAACCCTGTGAAGTAAAATAAATACCCAGATATTTGTAGGACGAAACTATCTCCAACTCAGAGTTAAATAAATAAAATTTATCAGCTTTCCCCAGTCTATCCCCTCTCCGAAAAACCATTACGTTAGATTTAGTCTCATTAATAAATAATTTATTAGACTTACAGTAATCTTGTAGAAGGTCAAGTTTTTTCTGAAGACCAATAGGTGAATATGAAAATATTACAATATCGTCAGCAAACAAAAGACAGTTCAATTCTACCTCTGGTGATATGGATATACCCATTGTATTATGATTACAAAAAAATTCGGAGAGATCATTAACAAATAAATTAAACAAAATAGGACTAAGTGGTTCACCTTGTGGAAGCCCTTTATTAGCAGTTACCGCCTCTGAAAGAAAATGATTAACTTCGATTTGATAAGTGGTGTTCGAAAACAATTGTCTTATAAGATTAATAAAAGATGATGAAATACCTATCTGAGAAAGCTTCAACCATAAAATATCATGATCTATTGTATCAAACGCCTTTGACAAATCAATAAATCCACTGTATAATTTCCTCCGCTTCTTAGTCAAATTTAATTGCAAAATTCCATGAAATATAAATAAATTATAATCCACACCTCTATTCACTACAAAAGCACCTTGACCAATAGAAATAGTGTGAGACCGCTCAAGCCAAAGACACAAACGATTAGCCAATAACATAGAAAAAATTTTCTTAATTACACTAATTAGCGATATCGGATGATAATTCATAGGATCAAATCGATTACCCTTCTTATATATCATTCTTAAACAAATATTTTTTCCAAGTAATGGGAAAAGAATAATTAGTTTTAAAATTATTAAATATCAATTAAAATATTAGTCAGGAGGAATTTAACCATCTCAGCCTTAACAGCATCTAGTCCAGGAGCTTTATTATTTTTTAAAGATCGTACCACAAATTGTAATTCGTCAAATGAAAAATTTTCATCTAGTAATGAATCCGTATTAACATTAGTACAAATAGACAGTACAACTAAAGATGGTCCAGAAAAAAATTTTCTCAAATAACTCTACCAATCACGAATAGAGATATTATTATACACAACTTTACCATATCTAAATTTATTAACAATTTTCCAAAATTCTGCAGAGTTTTTAATATGTGATAATTGGAAGTTAATCTTATTCCAAAATAGTTTCTTTTTGGCTTTACATATAGATTTAAAAGTTTTTTCCAATTTAGAATAAATAATAAATTGTTGTTCAGTTCTTGATCGCCTAAATGCTCGTAAAGCACGATTCTTCTCTCTCTTCAATCGTAGGCAATCAATGTCAAACCAAGACTTTACAAATTTTCTTGAACAATGATATTTAACATATTACTTTGAATTACAGACTCAAGAATCACATCAACAAAGGACGAATAAAAAGAAAAGGAATCCAGAAAAAATCCACCTTTAATATCTGCATATCGCTTAGTGACACTATGCAAATACTTATCCAAACATGAAGATCTCCACACATAACAACATATCTTAGTAGGCAATTCTGTACTGAGAAAAAGAGAATCAAACCTGAGCTCAATAGAAATAGGGAGATGGTCAGAATCAAATTTATTCAAAACTCTAAAGTCTACCAAGTTATCAATTAATTCAGGATTTATAGCTATCAAGTCGATGACTGATGCACCCAAAGTGGAAATAAATGTAAAATTAGCAGGAGAATCAGTAACGAAACAACCATTCAATAGAATCATTCCATAAGATTTGATCAAGTTCAAAAATCTCTTTCCTCTATAGTTAAAAATCTTATCTTTAGATTTTCTAATATTATGAAAATTTCTATTAGAACCTATATACAATGTATCTACTTCGGAAGCAATTCTAGCGTTAGAATCACCAAGGATCAGGATGTCATCATCATTTTTAAAATCCAGAATCAATCTATCAAGATACTCGATCAATGAATCGTATTTATGAATAGTCATATAAACCAGAACAATTAAAAGCCCAGGACAATCCTTAAACATAAGTTTATCAAATATAAGTTTAGCCATAATAAGGTTATCAGAGAGATGACAAATTTCTAACTTACCAAGTTTCTGAGAAACCAGTAAAAACAAAACCTCCAGACGGTCTTCCAGGTCCCTCAGATTTGAGCTAACATTTCAGTAAAATAGAATTGGGAGTCCAATGATGAAAGAAAGGATCTCACCGAAAATGTCATCCATGATTCAGTTATACCAACAATATGATATGATGATACAAAATCAACAAAACTCTTGTCAGTAAAGTTATCAAACAATGAACCTTGATTATTCCATGACAATACGTTTAGCATATAAAAAACTTTTGAATAAGGAATAACAGTTGAAATTTTTAATTCTCGTCCATTCGACGATCAAACATTTTCCCTGGTAATAAAAAAGGTTCAATTTCATCAGCTTATTACTTATTAAATCAAACGTAAAGTTTTCTCCATTTATTGTTAGACAATCAGCTCTCATATACGCATCTTTTCTGGTCTTCTTAGCCTCTTGTTAGAAAGGAAAAAGACTTTTCCTCCTAACTCTCAATCTCCAATATAAATCATCAAAAAACTTTACCCTAGAGCATCCTTCCCTCTTCTGAATATTATGAACATTTCGGTAAATGAGTTTTTTATCGGAGACAATGTCAAGTTTAGCCACCACCAATTTATTTTTTGAGATTACAGTAGAGCGTCGATTTTCCGAATCAATTGGGGACTGGGGTTGTCCGGATAACTGATATTTCGGATAACTGATTTACGTACGAAAAAATAGTTTAACGTATCCGATTTCGAAATTTTTCTCTGTTGCGTGTCGCTTCGCGTTGAATTTTCGTCGATGTCAAGCCTAACAAAGACTATTGTATCGTTAAAAATTATTTTTTTATTTTGTACAAACAAAATAAATATATTGAAAAATATAAAAATAATAAAAAATTATACTTTAGAAGTTAATTTAGTATCAAAAACGTAAAATATTTGAGTAGCCTAAGACATAGCCAAAGATTGAAGCACCACAGCACTGGCGAAAATTTAAATTTGCCGACTGGAATTCTTTTGGATGATTGACTTTCGGAAAATTGACGCTCTACTGTATTTTAAGATCTTTTACCAAAATTGAATCACCACTAGGTCTTTTAATAGATTGCAAAATATCAGAAGCCAATGACAAAACTTCAGACGAATTTCCCTCTAAACCAGCAATAACAATGTTATTTCTCTGACGTTCATTTATTGATGAATCTAAAAGATATAAGAAATAGGAGGTCGAAGCAGTAAATGAAGTATTTAAATTAGAAATTTCCTCCACCTTCTTCTCTACATTGAGAAGACGTTGTTCAAAATCTTTATGCAAATTTGCCAACCATTCGAATTTAGTAGATAAATCTTCAAGTTTAGTCAAAATAGTATCAAATTTTCCTCTAAAAAGGAAAATAAATTTTGAGGTACATTTGAAGAAGAACCCAAATGAGGAAAAAAATTTTCCAATCACTGAGATTTCAAAGTTGGTTCACTAGGAGATCTTTGACATTTTCCAACAGTTGATATGGACGACTTTGAAAGGGGAGGAAGGTGGAGTACGAGGCATCGGTCCAGGATTAGATTCAATACCTCCAATTAACAATAAAGCACGTAATAATAAATATATATCAAATTCTTTAATGAAACCAAGATAAAGAATCAGATACTTTGTAGAAGCAAGCATATCCAAAGCACTATAATTGAACAAAAACAGCTCTCTCAAAAACTCACCAACACTGACGAATGTCGGAAGCACCCCCCTAAATAAATAAATAAATCTAGACAAGGAAAATAGAAATTGAAAAGTGTCTATAGAATTATTGATTAATTTATTAAAATCTTTATGCAGGCCTCTGTTATTTTTTAAAATATTTTACTATTGCTTAAATTCATATTTATTTGTAATGTAATAAAATATCTTAATATTTTTCATTATTATAAAAAAAATTATTATTTATCATTTTTCATAAAAAAATCATTATTTTATATCAATATATAATTATGTTATTTGTAATATGCTGAATTCTGTTTTTATTTTTTAATATTCTATAAAAATCTTGTCAGTTTTACTTTTCATAGTTTTATATATATAAAAAAGTTATTTTACTTAATATAAAATAATATAATGCAAAATAGTAGTATACATTAATGAAATAATTTGATATCTAATATTTTAGCATTTCATGCATCCACTTAAAAGTGTTATTAAACCTGATGATCGTAAAGTTATATTTATGCATATAAAGGTAATTGAAAAAGATATTACAATTTTTTTAAAATTAAAACTATTTACAATAAGTTTTAAATTATGCTACAGTTTAATATATAAGTAAAAATCATTAATATCATAAGTAATTTTGTTTATTATAAAGCAAATAAAATTATTTATTACTTAAATAATTTTAGATTTTTTGGTTTATGCTCACTATACAATATTTTTATGTTATAATTTTATTTTATATTCTATTATCTACATTACAAAAAATTTTGAGAAAAATTTACATCTTATTTTAGATTTTGTTATTTTAATATTATATGTTATTTAAATTGCTGTAATTTATTATCTATGATGGCGTATCACTCATATCAGCATATACTCAAAAAAAAAATTGTTAGAAAAAACAAAAAAACTTTGCATATACCTTGTATTTATAAATGGCTAAAGCTGATATCCCATCTAGTTCCAAAAATTCTCAATGGGTGACAAATCTGGAGATCAGGCAAGCCAGGGAAGTGGGACAATATGACAGATACATTCTGGGAGACCTAGTCATGTATGGTTGAGCATTACCTTGCTTTTCATGATAGGGTTTCCAGCCCTATCATAAAAGGCAGCACATAAGAGTACAGGATTTTCTATACATACTGCTATGCCATGCCATGAATGTTCCTTGCACCACCATTATGAGTAATTGACTGTGATATGAGATGGCTCTCCAGACCAGCACAGCAGAAGTGTGCTGTTTTGGGGTATTGTTTAACAGTAAAGGTGGAATTGAAACACACTGTGTCCTATACACTTTAACATGAGGTTCATCCATTTCCAAACTGAACTGGGATAAAAATGCTGTCAGTTCATAAGCAGTCCATGCTTTCCTGTCATGGCACCACCAAAAACAAAGCCAAAGATTAAAAAATTTTTCTATCAGATGGTGATTAATGTTGAAGTTAAATTGAAGACTAAGTCTGCCAAAAAATAGTCACCATTTATTCACATTTACTGTTCTGGAATACAGCCTTTTATGACTGACCTTTCTTTTTAGGTTACTTTGTCACAAAACTTTAAAAAGAATGTAAATATGTTCAATTAAAAAATGTTTGTTTTTAAAATTCTTATACAGTTTGTTGATAGCTTTACAAAATTGTTTTACAAATTCTTTAGTAGCAATAAAAAGAGCAATAAATAAAAAACTGTTGACTCCGAGGGAAAGAGAGAGAAATTTATTTATTTGAAATTTGAATTGTATTGAATTTGTGGAATTATTAATTTATTTAATTAAATACATTTTAATTCAAAAATTTTTAGTGTAATGTTTATTGTTTGATGATTAACTATCCATATTACTTTGAAACTATATTGATGTATTTCATTATTTATATATGACAAAAATTTTAAATTTATAAATTAAATTATAAATTATTTTTACATTATATTGAATTTTATGTAAATTATGCTTTTAAATAGAATACTATAATTAATTAATAAGCAAATTGTATATGAATATAAGATGTAATTTGACAAATCAAATCTTATGTGCATGTAGGATTGAATAGGAAGTGAAAAAATATCATTGATTTAATATTTACTCATACAAAATTTACAAAATACTTAGTTTTTTGGCTATAATAATTAATCATTTAATAATTGTATGATAAAATATTTCATTTTAGGATTTAGCGAGAATTCATACAGAATTTCATAGTGAATTGTATAAAGCATGTACTTCAAGTCAGTACAAAATTAGTGAATGCTTTCTTCATTGGAAAGAAAAGTTCATAATTTATGGGGACTATTGTTCAAATCTTCCTCGTTCCCAAGAACTTATAGACGAATTATGTAATAAATATGAAATTGTAAACCAGACAGTTTTGGTAAGTATGATTTTTGTAGTAAAACTGATTATTATATTATTAATTGTAATAAAATTATAAATTGTCTTGTATATATTTTGTTTTATTTTGGAAAAATCAGTTTTTATTGGGAAACCTTTATAATAAGCTATTTATTTTTAAATTATTAAATTTATTCATATTTATTTATATATTTATAAAGTGATAATTTTATCTGCTGCTAACCGTATAATAACTTGAATAATTTATAACAATGTAATTTCTATTATTTATTCTTTGAAATCCCTTAAGATTAATTCAGTTAGTTTAATTAGTGCAATTAATTTAAATTAAAATTGTATTAAATTTATTAAAAATTAACAATGGTTAAATTAATTAAAAATTATATAGTGTGGCCATAATAAAAATTTAGCTATTTTTTATAGAAAAAATTATTAGAACATTTTCAAAATTTATAATTTTAGAAAAAAGTAAAGGGAAGGAAATTAGGTAAAAGAAATTAATTGCAAAAGTCACTTTAAAGTTATAAACTGTAAACAGCAAAATCATTAGTAAAGTTACAGAAATCATTAATGATATTTCCATTTATAATGTAAATTTATTTTAATGGAAAAAACTTTATCCAGATTTACTTTTATAATTTGCAATATGGTTATTTATAATAAAATATTCCAATTGTAGATTATAATTATGGTCATCTCATATAGATTACAAAATTTATGCAATTTAATTGATATAGATTTTGACAAAAATAAAACTTTTAGTATTATGAGATGAATGTAAGATTTCAATTCAATTAATTTCAGTTTTGTCTAGTTCAAAATTATCATTTATTGTTAACTTAGCTAACATAGTAAGTCTTTTTTGTGACTGAATGTGGTTTTTTTATATTCTAAAATTATTTTCTGTAAAGATATCTGAATTATTCAATATTAAATAAAGTACAGTAGAGCATCAATTATCCGACCCCCGATCAACCGTCACATCGGTTAACCAACCGCATTCTAGTCGGCAAATTCAAATGTCTGCTAGTGATGTGGCGCTACAATATTTGGCTATATCTTGGCTACTTTAATAGTATTTTTACGTGTTTTAGCTGGCAACATGGCTTGACCACGAAAGGGAGCCAGTATTTAAATGAGGCTTAATTTTCTAATTTTTAACGATACAATAGCGACAATTATTATTTTAAAAAAATTTTTGTTAGGCTTAACATCGATGAAAATTCAACACGAAGTAGGTTAATAGCGATATACTAATATACTAATTACTTGAGATATACTAATATGCTAATACACTATAGTAATAATGTATTTTTTCATTCTTTTCAATTATCCGATTTTTTCAGTTATCCGATCAACCCCAGTCCCCAATTGAGTCGGATAATCAATGCTCTACTGTATTATTACTTTATCTTTTAACATTATTGTGTGTGTGTGTGTGTGTGTGTGTGTGATTTGTCATTAAAATTTTACTAATTCACATCTTTTATATGTAACCTACAAAGAGAAAGTAAAAACAAATATTAGCATTCTAAGTGGAAGTTTGTTAGCTATTTTTAATAACTTACATATTAATTTCCGTGGAAAGGGGACTATAGAAGTAGATTAAAAATGAGCCCATTTAGAAACAATAGTTTGAGTATCCAGATAGTATATAAAAATATATTAAAATGTCTTTATAATTCCTCTAAATACAATGAGTCAGATATAATGTTTAAATAAAATGAATGAAATTTTATAATTATATTAACGAGCTACAACTTTGTATTTAGCGCTGTCAGTTAGAGGCCAATGATGGAAAATTTAAACTTCGTGATCTTCTCTCCGTGCCTATGCAGAGGGTGCTTAAATATCATCTCTTGCTCAAGGTAAGCATCATATAAAATTGCTTTGCAAAGATGGAATTTAATTACTTACTTAAATAACTGATATTATATAATTTTATTTTTTACATATATTTATTTATATTTATGTAATTCTAATTTTTAATAATTAATTGTTTAATTAAGTTTGTTAATATTGGCTCAAGATCTTTTGTCTAATACAGTACATCCTGTACTTTTGTACAGTCGACCCCCCTATAACGTACGTTCCTAAAACGACAATTCCTATAACGTAGCGAAAAAATTGTAGCAACTTTCGTATAACGTACCTCCTATAACGTCGTTTCGCGACAAGATTGATAGAGTCTGGACCAATAGTGGATGAGCAGCCGAACTACTTTCCTCCGACCCTGCGCCACGCTACGGAGCGGCTAAATTGAGTTTGCTATCGTCTGTTTAGTATTATATATAAATTATATATAAATTAGGTACTGTACATATAATTATATATTAATTATATATAAATTAGGTACTGTATATATAATTATATATTAACTTAATTTATTGTAACTTTATTATAATTATATATATGCTTTCTGCCGCCTGGCAACACGCTACGGAGATTTTAGGCTAGTAAGTTGAGTTTATTATCGTCTGCACAGTATGTAAATTAGGTACCGTAAGTCTAATACAGCACTAATTTTATACATTTCTTGTGAAAGAAACACTTCTTATTCAACGTCCATAAAAATTATTTATATTAATGATGTCTCCAAAGGTCAAGTTATTTTTCCGCCAAAAATTCGTTATCAGAAATTGCGGCCGTCGTTTCGCGTGCTGTTCCGCGATGAAAACCAGCTTTAAGCAACGGCGTAGTCGAACGGTGTAAGTAATCCTACAATTTTTTGTTTATAGCATAGTTTATACAGATTATTCCCAAAAAATTATACGTATTTTGGAAATGTTGAGTGGAATTAGTCTAGAATCGGTTAATTTTATAGAAGAAAACCTTTCGAACAGCCTTAGTCCGTAAAGTTCACACCTATCGGGCTGCGATTGGCTCATTCCTACAACGTAATTTTCGGTTAGCGTGGAACGTATCTAAGCGTTATAGGGGGGTCTACTGTATAAGTTTGTTTTGAGTGTTTTTTCATTGTATAAGATTATTTCAGTAATTTAGTTATTATTATTAATTTTTATGTGACATTATTTAATAATTTAATAAAATTTCATTTTATTACAGGAATTATTGCGAAATACACCAAAAGTTCATGATGACTACTTAGGACTAGAAAAAGCGCTAGATGCAATGCTGGTATAATTTTAATTTTGTTTTATAAGTATACATTAAATATAAAAAGTATATATTAAACTACTTATATTGATACTTAAGAGAAAGATTTGATGAATCAACATGGCTCTGAGTATAAATTTATAAGTTCAGTGGTTACATTTCAGAAGAATTCAGCAGAAAATAAGTTTGTTGGTTCCAAGTACTTGGAATCAATATGTACTCTTAAACCTGACAAGTCTAAGTCCAAAGTTTGTATATTTTAACAGCATTAAACAGAAATTGTCAATTGTTAAAGTATTTTATTAGTAAAGAGGTAGGAAAATTAAACCTAATTAGTAAAGATAACCTGTTAGTTGTATTTTATCTACAGTATTGACATTACAGCACAACAAACATTTGTTGATTTGAGATGTTTTGCAGTCTAGTAACTTGAAAATTGCCCAAATCATAAAAAGAAATTGTATGCTGATAGAAAATAATCAATATAAAGATTTAAAAGAAAAGCAGATAGATATTAAAAATTCCAAAAACTCAAAATTTGGGATTTTTTAAGGTAGTTCAGGTCAGAAGCTTTGATAGTTGAGTGGCTAAGGCAGTTAAGATATCATTCTACTATTTTGGGGACTTGGGATTAAACCTGGAGTGAGTAATTCCATAGGAATTTTTAATGTGGGGTCTGTTCCGGAAACTTGAGTCCAATTTCTCATAACCTAGTTGCCTCATTATTGGTCTGGCAAAACTTACAGGGGGGGTATTGAAAGATGGAAGGTTTTCTTAGTATCAACACAGCAACTAAACTTTAAATGAAATATTATGTGTATATATGCTAAACTTTCTAAATATTTAGTTATTTATTTCTGTTTAAGACGTCTTGTTTCTTATAATAGTTGTTCTTTCTGTGGATATTTGAAACATCATGGAAAAGTATTGTCACAAACAACAATTTTGTAATTATAATTAAAATAAGTGTTTACTTAACAGGATATAAATTTTAATTAGTTAATTGTATTTGCCAAATTTATGAAATTTTCAATTTTTGAATATATTGTAGATATCCTAGTTCAATAAACAGAAACTAATGTACTTAATACAGATACAGATTTAGATTGGAAATTTAGATTTAACTCAGAGAATCTCAAAATACCAAGTTTTGGCAAACCTTTACAGAGACAGATTATTGTTTGGATCTGAAATAACTTTTATTCACTTTCCTCGGGTAATTTGAACTTGTCAACAAGATATCTTTGTCCTCTGTTTTTGTCAGGAAGTGATTTGGTGGCTGAAAAAGACTTCTGGTTTTGCTGTGATGACACTCAGATTTTTCAAACATTTTACCCACAGGTATCATCTACAAACCTTGTTGGTAGACAGTCAACTTATCTCTCTGATTGAATTTTCAAACTGACATCAAAAGTTTATAGGGGCTAATCCTGGTGATCAAGTGAGAGGAGTTTTCTCTCACTGTCTCTTGATCACCAGTTGTTTTGTCAGCAGTTAGCAATTTGACAATAGAAATGTGATTTTGCAGTTGACATAGTTAACTCTGAGACATAACCTTATGTTTAAATTACAAACTTTTGCTATCTCAACAGCTTTCTTTCTTTATTTTTTTGTTCGACACTTTATATATTTACACATAATCTTAGATGTTTATGTAAGTTCCGTGATAGTTTGTTTGATGAAAATTTTTCCATGTTGGGACGGGAAGTTCTCATATTTTATATATAAATATAAAATATTAAATACTAATAAATATTTATAAAACTTTAGATTTCTTACATTAATATAGTGATCACTTTAATTAAAAATTCAAAAATTTTATTCAATTCTGTAAAGTTTTTATAATAATCAACTTATGATACAGTTAATTTATTACTTAGTTTTAACATATCTTAAATATCTGAACATATAAACATATATATGTGAGAATGCGAGAGTGGAGAGCAATTTTATTTGAAAATTTATTTGTTTTATTTATCACATGCTGGTACAGTCTTAGATTTACTCACTTGATTAATAATTTCAATGTAATATTTTAGCGATAAAATAGACAAAAGTTGTAATTTGTTGTGGGAAAAGGAAATAGAACTTTCCTCAGAAAGTTGTTATTGCTCGTATCTGACAAACATCTGTCCCTTACATCAGATGTATGTCCTGTCAGGTAATCAAAACCCTAAAATCTGATTGGTGGAAACTTAGAATAAAAAAGGAAAAACATCACGAACGAGTTTGGGGCAGCAGTCAACTACAAGAACCTGCCATAAGAGAGACAGTCAACAAGGATAAGACTGCCATAGAAGAAGGCAGTCAACATTAATTACAGGCAGTTCACGACCAATTCAAACCTGCCATGTTACCACAATCCATGACCAGAAGGAACTTGCCATAACAATTAGAAGAAGATAGTCCCACTCTGACTCTCCAGCATTCATCTCGCATTCTCCAAGTTTGATCGACAGAGGTATTATCATTATTTTTAACCAATTGTAAACTCTCTCTCATGTTTTAGAGGTGTATTCTAGATAGACTCAATTTACAATAGGTTATCTTATGTATCTCTTTGTTTTATTTTATTTATTAAATCCTTTTTGTTGTTTGTTAACCTGTTGATTCCATCAGTTACTTAATGCCATCCAGTGACTCAATGAGCAGGACTAACGGTCCTGATGATGAAAGGGTATTAGACTCTTCATATTCTCACATATACACTTATATATAACATTTAACATATACTTTTTTTTTAGAATAAGCTGAATAGAAAGAACGTAGAATAAGTTTTAGCTCAATTTTATAAAAGCTCTTTAGTTTTGAAGATAGTATAAAATCAGTTATTGATGACATTTTGCATATATTAAGCTTTTTTAATGTGTTATCAAAGTTAGTAAATCTTTATTAATTTATATATTTTGGCTTTAATATACATTATTTTGAAATTTTATAATGATTAATATTTAGTTGCATTGTAACAAATACTGTGATAATTTTTATTTTCATTTATTTCAATAATAATTTATTGTTTAATGTTGAATACTTTTGATACAAGAGATCATTGTTGAATAATTATTTATGAGCTAAATTAGGCTGAATTTTAGAACTTATTATAGAATATCTGTCTGCCTGCTTTGCAACTGAATGTAATGAACATTGTTCATGTTAAATGCTTGTCACCTGAATTTTTAAACCATAATCAATAAAACCATAAAAATATACTTAAAATAATAAATACATTTTTATAGACATTAAAAAGTGGTTATACCAAGTGATAAAATGGAACAAGAATCACAAGAAGTAATAACATGAAGAGTTTGGTGACATTCCAAATCTGACTTAACAGTGTCATGAGTTGACAGTGCTTATTAGTATTCTGCTACACATTACAAGAAAAACTTAAATTTTAAATTTCTAAAATTTTTTTTGCTACAGACTTGAGGGATAACATTTGAAACTCTGAATAAATAAATGAATAAAAATACTTGCATTATAAGGCAAAATTTTTATAGTTGTATGAACAGAATCATAAGATGATTTGTTAAAAGTATTGTGAACTTAATTGTGCCTGAATGTTGAAAAAAGTCTTTTCTTGGATAAGTTTTCGTAAGGCAACTTTTTATCACACTGACTCAATGGATTTCTACTTATTAAAATGTTTGTAAACTTAAACCTTAGTAGGTACAGAGAATTTGGAATAATTTTGCACCATTATCTTAATTTTTTCTTCATGTAACTTTTCAGTATGAAAATTTCTTTTTGTAGCATAAGGCATTTCCAATTATCACAAAACTTATTTAAATTAATAATGAGCTAACACTACATTTGAAAGTGGTAACATACAATGAATCATTTAGCTGACACTGGAATATGGGTTGCCAAGTCTGACTCTCAGCATCAACATACTTCTCACACTATTTCTTGTGAGTCTCTTTTTTTGTTTGTTCAAACCCCAGTATATATAATAAACTATATAACTGTGAATATAAAATAAGACTTCTAATTCTAGAAATGTTTCCTCAATGTAATATTTGTGATAATTATTTACAGGATCTTGCACAGTATATTAATGAGGTGAAAAGGGATAATGAAACTCTTCAAATTATAAGTGATATACAAGCCAGTATCACAGACCTTAATATGGTAAGTGATATAAATTTTAATTTTTGTGTTGTAGATGAATAAATGTATAACTATTAAATCATTAAATATCAAGAAGTAAACATTTCTTGAGAGAGATGTTTCTTCCACTCTTGTATCTTCAGTACAAGAGATGAAAGAAATTATTAGGACTGTTCTAAGTCAAAATTTTGATATATCAATGATCAAAAAGTTGTGATAAATACTAAATAATTTGGTACTAGAGGTAGGCATTAGGTGTCATCTATTGTTAAATTTAATAATTATAATTAAATTAATATTTAATAAATAATTTAGAATATTATAAATTAAATTATTTATTTAGTAACTAAGGGTGGTTATATCTAAATTAAATATGTCTAGAAGGGAAGATTGGATGGAGATCTAGGTAGTGTAATTGGCAATGCACTTGTGGGTTCAAGTTCTGCTCCAGGCTGATTCCTTTCTTCCAGAATATTCCAAATTATTTATTAAATATTACTTTAATTATAATTATTAAATTTAATAAGAAATGGCACCTAATGTCTACCTGTAGTACCACATCATTTAGAATTTAATTAAAAATAATAGCAACAAAGTAGCTCAATTTAATTCTTCAATTGTCTGGCATATTACTAAAATATCAGGCATTGGGATGTTTATATTTGGTAAATACCAAAAATTATTAATAATAATGTATATTGACTATTGGCACAGCCCTAGAAATTATCCTGTGTAATGTTAAATTTGCCAACTACAATTGTATGGATATTTTCTATCATTTACATAATTGTATAATGTGCAAGATTTGCAAGCTTTTTTAAAGTTTAAGTTCAGTCACAAACTTTAAAAGAAGCTTGTGACTGATAAGTGTTTACAAATCACAAAACTTGGCACCATAGTTGATTGAAAAAAATGTAGAATTTTATGTAAATGTTAAAATTTGAATAATAATAATCTAATTTGTGAAAGTGGATTATATTGTCAGTAAAGTTAGAATGGTCATCAACCGTCCAGGTATTGTTGTACACTTGGATTATGTTCTAAAACATATTATTCAATAAGCGGATTTTACAACATTGAATTTACAATTCTGTTTTTTAAAATAGAATTGGAAATTTTCAGTTATAACAAAATTTCTAGATAATAGTGTTTATTTACTAATTGTAACTATTAAGTTTTTGATGATCTAATTACTTATAATTGTTAATCAAGCTAAAAATAAATGTTTATTGTAAGAATTATCTCAGTTTTTATGAAGTTGAATTTTAACAGTTACCAAACTACAGTTCTTCTAGACCAGTGTTTCTCAACCTCTAACGAATCGTCGCCACCTTCAACATAGTATTGCCCCCTTCAATAAAACCGTTACATAGTATCGCCCCCTTCACTTCAAAATTCCGATGCCGAGGGCCAAGGCTAACGCCAAATTCGTACTGCATTGAATAGACTATTGACTAGTATAATGTCATTTGTTTAATTATTGTACAATATAAAGAATAAAATATCTAATTATTCTTAATATAATGTTTTTCTATATCACCCAGAAAATTGTTTTTTGCCCCCCCAAAATATAAATTGTTACAAATCGCCCCCTCAACATGGAAAAATGCCCACATGGAGGCAATATCACCTCCATTGAGAAACACTGTTCTAGATCTTATTGCAAATCTTGTATATTGTAACCCTATATATATAGTATATATACCAATATAGAGTAGGGATACAATATACTTTGGTAATATATCAGAAATACATGAGATCATGACAAAGTTTGGCCACCCTGTAGTATACTGTTATCTCATAATTTAAATACTATATTATTTGTTATATTGTTGTTAGAATTATATATTTATTTAAAATCATCATAAATAATAATTATAAATAGTTTATAAATTGATATATTTGTTATTTAATGTTATTAAATGCTGTTTATTTTATTATAGCCACTGAATACAGAATTAAAAGATTATGGAAGGTTGTTAAAAGATGGAGAATTGAAAATCAGATCACATAATGATAACAGATTAAAAAATAGGTTAGTTATTTCATATATTATTTGATTTATCATCATTAAAACAGTGAGAGATTTTCATTACTTCTTTCTCCTTAATTGGTGGATTGTCCAATGCATACAATTGTTAAATTAATGTCTAAATGCTGTTTGTTGAAATACACTTTTACACTCAAGTCAGCTTTTGAAACTCTGATTAATAAATATATTGTAGCAACCACATCATGCTTGTATTCTAGTTTTACCACTGAGCAGTGCTTCATATGAGAGCATTTAATGCAGAGAATTGAATGAAGTGCTCTCAATTAAGCTGTTTGAAAGAGAATAATCTAAAAATGTTGATGACAATCACCTTAAATAGCCCATCAGTTTTTTAGTTTTCAAATGTGGCAAAGCTATTGAACTATTTGAATATATGATAGACAGAAAAATGAAATATTTTTTATCTAGATTTATTATACCATAAATTAAGATTTGTGTTACTGTAAGTAAGCAATCTGAATCAAACTGAATCAAAAATATGTATTTAATTATATGAAATCAATGCTGTCAAGAAATAAATTTTTTAAAATTTGACTCTTAATGTACAGTGAAAACTGCTTAGGCGACCACCTGCATTCGATAGGCACCTGTCAAAACAGGCAAAAATTCCTGGCATGGAATAGTTTATACATTGAGTCTTCGTATAAGTTACCCGTATTAAACGACCACCTGTGTAATACGACCATGGGCATAATTTTTAGTCCAAAACAACATACAGCAATTGTAATAAGTGACCACTTCCACAGTCTAAACTATTGTTTGAACCTATCTCAGCAATGTTTTCCCCTCCTAATATAGTGAATTAGTCTAAACTCTTGTTCGAACTCACCTCAGGCAATTCTCCCTTCCTTGAAATTATGTGTATCCCTATGTGTATCCCAGGTGTTAATGAATTAGTCTAGCAACAAAGGAAATTCATTTCAATTTGTTTGAAATTGTCCGAAAAATGAAAGAAATGCAAAGTGTTGTTGTTAGAAGAACGTGTTAAAGTTATCAGAGAGAGTGAAAATGGTATATCACAATGGCAATTAGTGGCAAAGTTTAACTGTGGGAAAACGAAATTTATTTTACCATAGACCTACAGTATTTTCCTTAGGGGTATAAAATATTGTACACAATACAGCTGATCTCATCATTTGATAAAATTTATTTTATTTATTTATTTATTTTTTTGAAGCTCATATACAGTACATGTGCGATAAATAGTTTCTGTATCAACCTACCTTATTTCCATGATATTTTTTAGAAAAATAATATCCAAGTAATTTTCACACACAAAATATTAAAAAAAAAATAAAAAGCATAAATGCAAAAATCAGTTTTACAGGCAACCTTCCTTTTTCGATTACATAATACGATTTCATTATATTCTACTGGACAATCATGGAATGTAATGAAATCATATTATGAGAAAAAATAATAAAATCATTTTATTATTAATTAATAATTTTTCTTATTGTACTTAAGAAAATAATAAATATTAAAAAAAATACACTATTTTTAAAGTTAAAATAAGATTAAACTAACGAAAATCAAAACTAAAGTGATGGAGAGATACAACGTGCTTACATATTGATGACATAATACACGTAACTGAGGAGTGAATGAAAAGAACCAAGTTGAATTAATTAAGTCGGAAAAAAGAAAATGTACATTATAATCGAGAAAATGCAAGTATTATATTAATTGTATACTGGCACAATGAAGTGACTTTTCTTCAACACTAGGCAAGTTTCAATCTTTATTCAGTTAGAACGTTTTGCTATACATCTACGTTTCGGGCATTTGCCCCTCCTCAGCCAACTCACTTCGATACAAACACCAAATATACAGTAGAACACCAGACGACCCATAGGTTCACATAACGTTTCCACCATAAAATCCGTTTTATTTTTACAATAACATAATTTGTTATCTTAATTTTTACTACATGGACAAAATAATTGATAAACTTTACAGATTTAAAATCTAAAAATTACAATTTCAACTATTACCTAAAGTCGTATTATATTAATCTTTAAAATACTGGTATTAAATCTGTCTTATAAAATCATGACGACTGATAAGAATCTGATAAGAATAAAATACAATACCAATATAGCTCTATTGTTGAAAAAATTTGCTTATTTTTGCTTACCTTGAGTTTTGTTTAATCGAAATAACTAAAAACTGCGCAAAATACATACGGAAATATGGCATTACAGCACCACCTGTATTGGACAACCACCTACCTAAAAGACCACTTTTTGAAAGAACTGTGGGTGGTTGTCTTAGACAGGTTTTACTGTACTCAACTGATATTCTTATGATCCATGAGTCAAAATGGATTAGAATAGATCTGCTGTCAGTTGCTTGCTTCTTTACTGTCTTTTTTACACTAGGAAATAATTTGATCTGACCATGTCCAAGTCAAACTTAGTTTAAATCTGAAATAAATTGAAACTTCTAGATTAAAAATCAGATTATTTAAATGTTAAATTTTATTAAGCTCTATAATTTGAACATATGAAAATTAAAAATTGAACTTTTAAAGTTCACTAAAAACTAAAAGATATGGTTAAATATATCACTAAATTTTAAACTTTAGCAGATGTATGTTAAAATAAATATTTTGACCTTTTCAAGGACATCATCAAGTAAAAACAATTTTTCTTTGGTATATTACAATGATCTCTATTTGAAATGATGAACTTTTAAAAATTTTAAGCAATGTTCTGTTTTTTGAAAGATTACCTGATGATGACTTTGGAAATATTAAAAATATTTGCTTTAACAGATATCTGCTGAAGTTTAAAGTTAGCAATATAGTAATACCCCGAACTTACATGATAGGTGGGACCGAGCGGTAACTGCGTAAGTCGAATTCGCATAAGTCAGGGTATAATTTCACATATAAATACATACAAATGATTTTTAATAGGTGCCAGAGACTAAAGAAAACAATAATTCAGAAAAAAATGTTTAATAAAATCTTAGATAATATTGGGTTGTTCGGAAAGTAAGTTCGTTTTTTTTCCGTGGAAAAACGCAATATTCTTATAATAAATAAATATTTTATTGAATTATATATTGACCATTTTGGTCAAATGCCTGTTGTCATCATTTTTGGCAGTAGCACGATTTCACATTCATAAAAGTTTTGATCGTTGCTTACAAAAAACCGATCCAAGTGATTTTTGACATTGTCATTTCAAGTAAATGTCTTACAGTTGAAAAAAATTGTATAGACCGGAACAAGTAATAATCTGAGTGTGCTCGATCTGGTCAATACAGTTGGTGTGATAGCATGTCCCATCTAAGTTATAACAGTTTCTGATGAGTTACCAAACTTGTGTGAAATTTGACATTATTGTGGTAAAACACTACAGCTGTTTTTTTTATCAATTCTGGCCGGCTTTTTCTGTTTGATGATATTATGCAATTTGTTTACTCAAATGCAGTACACTTTCGAATCAATTGTTAAATTGTCTGGTAAAAGCTCCAAAAAAAATTTCCTTAATATTCCACCAAATAGAGCATTTCTCTTTGAGAACTCATGGAATTCATATATCGAGCTTTGAAACGAAACCAATTTGTTTCAAGTACTCATAAACAGTTCAATTTGACAAATTTAATCTCTTAGTGATTTCACGT